TCTATGACAGAAGTTGATAGGACTGGCGATAATAGGGAATCCCCACAGAGCTTCCTTCTCAATTTGTACTTGTACGCATTCGAACAGTTCTATCGCATATCAAATTGCAATTATTTTGTTAATAATTCTTCTGACATGGGTCTAAGTATAATTAATGATATTTTAACTTGGTTAGGATTTAAATCTGAAGCTTAAAGACGATTCAAGTAGTGAAACAGACATTGACGGTATTGATTTGTTTAATGAAATCAATACTTTAAAGTTGCATTTTCCAGAAAACCAGTCTAATGATCCACAAACCCTATTACAATATCTTTTTACTAATGACTTAATTTCAACATTTCCGAACACAGCAATAGCACTAAGAATATTACTTACATTGCCGGTTTCAGTTGCATTTGGTGAAAGGTCCTTTTCAAAGTTAAAAATTATAAAAAACTATTTAAGATCAACAATGCACCAGCAAAGACTAAGTAATTTAGCTATAGTTTCAATTGAACACGAAATCTTAGCTTGGATACAAGAAAATTGATAGCAGATTTCGCAAACATAAAGGCAAGAAGAGTTAAATTTCTGTAAAATAAATATTTATATGGTTTTACACTTAAGTAAACAAAAATAACTTAGTAATAATAAATAGTTTTTCTTTATAAAGTATTTCTTTTCCTTTTTCACTCCCTTATGAGACAACACTAAAGAGCCTTACTGGCAAGCTCATCCTAGGTAGTCGTAGTTAAACAGGGGGCGGCATAATCGGTATTGCACACAGGCGTTCAAATAGCTAGCGGCGCCCCTGATCTACACTACTAAAGGCCAATACGAGTACGATTAATATGAATTGAATATAGCTAATAAAATTAAACAGTATTGAGATGAAACGAGCCATACCCTGCATGTCGAGAACTTTATCTTTTATCTTATACAGTATTTCGGAGCAAATGCTTTTGGTAATCATTATTCATACCAGATGAAAGGCTTTTGCTTCATTTGCTTTCACTTTTACCTTATTAGCATTTACTTCGTTTTTATTCATACGGGCCATTGATAATGCTTTTTCGCAATTTTGGCACGCAGTTTTATTCAGCGATACGTAATCTTCGGGAATGCAATCTAAGTTCTTGATTTTGGTAGTTTATTTCCACATCAGTTTTCATTTCACTCGCTGGTAAATTTATATGTAATATTCTCATCTCCAAATTCTTCATCAGTCACATTGCTGCACGTATTTGTAAGAGGTGATAAAATTGATTGTGCATAAATTATTCTATCTTCCTTTAACATAGACAACGCTTTATGAAGAATGAAATCATTATAAAGCTAAGTAGCATTGTAAATGCCTAATGTCCTTTATATAGAACACCTAACTTTTCTTTAATAAAAACTTGTATAAAAGTTAATAGCAAATCTTTTGTACTAAAAGCTAGAAGATTTGAGTATATCTATACTATTATAAGAAAGAGGTAATGTTTGTAAGTATCAAGTAATCTCCGAAACTACTCATCCGATTTCAAAAATTCTTTCACCAATATTTAGAATGGAACTTCAGGGTGGACATAGGCTGTATATATTCCGTTAAACATTCATATAAATTAAAAGATATAATCTAGGTTAAGGCTTTTATGTCCAACACATGGCGCTACGAGTACGACGCCCTAAGTTTGCTTTTCTGTGAAAATGAACTAAAGCAGATCATAATCTATCTATATAAATAAAAATGTAATGTTCGTTTGTTCCTAACGATTCCTTTGAAATTCTGACAACGCTGCATTCGAATACGCACGTGTTTTTATATAATATACGTGTCGAAATTCCCCCCAATGGGGGAAGATGGACAGGATTAAGGCTTAGGTAAAGAACTCTGCTTCTATTCATACTATTTTAGATGCGGTTTTTTGCGTTTTAATAGGGTACGCCAACAGAATATACACTAAAAAGGGATTTTTCGAAAAATTCCCTCCACGGGGGGAGTGTTATACATTTATAATAGATACATTTTGAGCCACAACAACGCGTGGCAGGGTCTGCTAGTATTTTATAAAAACAAAAATTTGATACTTACTACAAAATTTATATCTTTTGAAGTAAACACCGAAATCAGCCAAATCAAAAAAGTCTCTATTTGAATCAAACATTCTTAAAAAATTCACTGCTAATAAACCACAAATTGTGTTTATCATCTATAACTGTGCCCACGCAAAAATAATTATTAAAAATTCATTGTTCAAAGCAGGTTGAAAGAACTTTTAACCTTATATAGGACATTAGGCATATATGGTTTAAAGGATTTCGATGCTATAATAACGAAATAAAACATTGTATTATTTCGGGCGCTTAGAAAAATTTTTAAGTATCGGAAACGAAACCCGACCACCTAACAAAATTTCAAGAATCCGATCGGAACGGAACTCTAACCCAAATCTACGGCGGCGGTATCTTTATTGCGCCTCTTTTCGATGAATTTGCATTCCGTGAAAACGTTACAAGAGTGAAAGTGATTTATTTCAAGCTATGAGACTTCGATTCAACTCATCTCTAATTTTTCTTGGTTAAAACTGGTTCCAGGCGATAGTATTCAGAAGGAGAACGGCCATGACCGCAGCCGCCTTAATTCTTTCAAATTATCAGAGAAAAATCTGACTGGGCTAAAATTGTTTGGCGTTTATCGGGATTACGAATTTAGTTCTATGAATTATCTGGAAAAATATTAACTTGACAAGTTTCCATTTTCTTCTCTTTCGGTGTATGTTTCTTCGCCTATCCGATTCGCACTTCTAAACTTATCCATTATATCTATCTTCGAATTTTCCTCCCAGCTGAAATTTTATTCATAATCTTTTTCGTTGCGTAGTCAGCATCTATCGACGAAACTTTTCGGAAATCCAAATTCCTCCAATTATTTTAGCAGCAGCTTTCAATCTTTAGATTAGGGATCATCAAATTCTTATTGAAGTTTCATTTCGGTAATGAAACTTCAAGAATTTGATGATACCTAATCTAAGAACAGACCCATCACTATAGCTGCTCTGCATCTTAAGCATTATTTTGCATGAACAACACTCCTTAAAGAAAGCGATAATCTTTGGTACTATTTAAACATCAAATTAATTTTGGATCGGAAATGTATGCGACTTCTCGCAACGCATATGGCAACGCTCAATGGCAAAATGTCACGGCGACGATAATTTGTCATGAACGTTACGAGAAAATTAATATAAAAGCCGTCTCCTGTATGTGAATTCCTTAATTCTTACAGTAACATATTCGGAAGTGTAAAAAAAAACCCCACCTACTTGAAAGAGATTGATTTTAGAGTTTTTTCCTCTAACTTAATCAAATTTTTCTTCCCTTGACGATGAAACAACTGGATGGCCGAAGCGACTAAGGGGTCGGCCTACCGCTCTGAGGATCCGAGTTCGAATTTGGATGAGCAATCCCAGGAATTTTTCATATGCGGTCAGTTCCGGATCTATCAGATACCTGCCCACTAAGCCGGCTGACACTATGATGGGCTTAAACGAAGTTTTTTTTTTAAAAAGAATGGCAAATTCCGAAGTCGACGACTCAATTTAGAACTGTCAGCATTACAATTTATTTGGTTAGAGAGGACAAACTAATAATACGGCAATGTAAGATTAATAGAGCCTCTCTATTTTTTAAAGTTTTGAAGTAAAAAAAAAAGCTCAAATATTAGTTACGAATTCTATTTGTTTTTGACAAGCTTTTTAACTAGCAGGGTTGAAAACATGTTTTAATTTAAAATTGGATTCCTTACCCAACATTTCATCTTATCTGTCGACCATAATTACTAGCATTATTTTTTGTATTCACCAAAGTAATTATGAACTTTTAAGCAAAGATTTTGAATTCTAAGATTTTCAATTTGAAACTGAATACAGCTATAAATGATTTTTAACCAACCAAGCATTAAGTATAAATATTCTAATTTTAAATATTAATACTGTCAAAATTAGTTCTTATTACACATTTAAGTTTTGCATCTAATTTTTATTTGTTGAACATTTCTAAAATTTAATTAAGAAAAAAAATTACTTTTGTGAGTTAAGATTACCAGTAAAAAATCTAGAATATTGTTCAACAGTTCCAATAAGATTACATTATTCTTTTCCATACACAGTAACAGGTAATGAAACACAAGGTGATTTTATCTGAATGCACATAGGTACTTTCAGCATTTTACATTGCAATATCAAGATGCGGCCACCTTATGATATTACAATGTAGCTACCTGACCCTTCTATTCTAGACACACATACCCCGTCCGCACTGAGCATTTCAATCTACATTCTGATAAGATTGGCAACTGTGCAGTGGTGTGACCTCTCGACCATTTCAATCTTGAGTGAAATGAGGTTCAATCGCAATCGACATAAGTTTTTTGAAATTAGATCCAGTCATTAGAGTTCTCACAATCCCATACACGCGAGAAGAAACAAGATGGCTATGGAACGTTCACATGTCGGGCTATCAACAGAAATAAAAGATATTTGGAGGCAATGAGATCTGGCTATTATTACATATATGGCAAGAAAAAGTATTTCTGACAAAAATGTCCATTCTTTTTTGGTTCGTGTTTGTGACATAGAAGTTGCATCACTTTTATCGAGCACAATAACCAGGTTCTTCTCAAGTGGACTGCCTGTGTGAACAGCTCGATGCTCAACTGGCAACAGTTGAAATCAAGATTGTGGATAAATTGACATCAAAGTGAGTCATGGATTATATGAGAATGCAGTATAACTGTGGTTCCCATGGTGCCTACTTATATAGTCTGTTTATAAACTTTACATACATGAACATACACTAATAGAAAATGTGCTCTTACATATTTCTGATAAGTAATATATGGCTCCCATTGTGACAAGGTTTGGCCTCCCCTGTGGTGTGTTATGGGGAGTGTGACTTTTTAAATACAGCAATTGTAACACGGTTAACCTGAATCGTAAGTAAGAGACAAGTTTAATAAGCTATCTAAAGACACCTTAAGTAGTGGAATGACTTTATTGCAGAACCCAAGAGAGGGTGCACTGACAGTACATAATAGCCCAAAATAGCCATGCAATCAACTAAACCATCATTCAGCCTATTGGCACATAGTATATTTAGGTACAAAAATAAAGCAAACAAAATTTAAACATATTTGCTTTAGATATCAGTATTAGCATTTAAATATCCACATGAATAAAGTTTACATAGGCACATTAATTTGTACAAAATTTCAACTAATGTACTGGCCATAAATTATTTATGGTCTATTCATAACAGTTGATTCAAATACATTTAAGAGCTACAAGATCTAATTGTTGATACAGAAACTTATTTCAGACATTTAAGGTATACAAGATTATTGCAAATTTTTACCACATTTATCTATTTCTTTTTATGATTTTGATAATATTAAACAGCATTAAGAATTTCAATGAAATACTAATTATTAAATCTGGCAATGATGGCTATAAGTGCTTTCATATTACAAGTAACAATGCTACATAGATCACCCCCCTTATCACAAAATGTTCCCATTAAAAGAAAATATACAAACAGAATATTTACCTTCACCACTTGGTACAAGCCAAAATGTTTAAGGAATAAAATAAGGACTTAAGTACTAAAAGATCATTTACGATTTTCATTTCTTTATGTCACAGGAACAAAATTATTTCTACAAAAAATTTGTTTACAAAGGGTTTACACAATAAATTTAATGGCAAATACAAAGTGGCCAATCAATTTATTCAGTTGACTTGTGGAAGTTTGTGCCCCTTCTCTTGAACAACCACAGCCAAAATCCTCATGGAAAATGGAAGATTCATTGTACACAGGGGGTGAGTCAAATCTGGTAAGACACCTAATAAATATCACATTTCTTATAATAAAAACTTAAAGATTTTTAATTTATATTCGACTTTACTTACCTAATAATTATTTGACCGCAAATAATCACCTAGCTTCTCGACAACTGCATTCAGTTGTCCTGGAGGAAAGCCATCTGTGGTTGCAGCAACAAGCAAACCTATAAATAAAAGTTTTTAAGCATTCATAAAAAAAATACAAAAAATTTAAATACAGCAAATTAAACCAAGAACCACCAAAATTTAACTATTAAGAAATAGGTTTCTATTAATGCTTACATCATACAAAATCAAAATTATTCAAAAAGCAATATTACAAAACTGCAAATCATTCCATACCCAACTTATAGGTTTAAGACTATTTCTGACAAATTTCTAACTTCATAAGAAGTACTCAAACAGTTTTATGGAAAAATTTAATTTTACACAATCTTATCTCATTATGAACAACCTTGAAAAATCCCATAAAAATAGCTTAAGAAAATGAAAACTTTGCTGATGTCAACAATTCGTTACTGTTGAGTTATATTGGAACAAATGTGCAACATTTAATGATAACAAATTTAATGCTGAATACAAAAGTTCAAAATTCAAATGGAACAATCATGTGGTTATTCTGCACATGATCCTTTTGACAACAGTTGAAAACAGCATCAACCATAAGCAGCAACGTGATGCAGGAAAAGATCAAGGTGCATTCACATTAACACTCCCACTTGCCAAGATGTCTCCAATTACAAACAAAAACGGATAAACAGCAAAGAAAAAAAAAATCAATAATTACGAAATTAGCTTTAGAATTTCAAAATGTTATTGGGATTATTAATGAATGTTTCTTTTGAAAACAGTTTTGTCAAAAAAATCAGCTTTATCAGTTTGTGTACCACTGCTACAGCTTGCTCTGTAGCAGTGGTGCACAAACTGTGGGTCACGAGAAAATTTTTCAGGGGGTCACCAAATTATTGGGTTGTTCAGAAAGTAATTTCGTTTTTTTACCACTAGACAGATTAGTCGTATTTTTTCCGCCATTTTCATTCTAAATCGTATCATCCTTATATATTTTGACAGCTAGCATTTTAAGGCTTATTTGTAAAAAACTTTGTTTGATTTCGTGCAATTGTTTATTTTTGTGTCCCATCAAATATGGAAGATCGAAAGCAGCATTTTCAGCATATTTTGCTCTTTTATTATCAAAAAGGTAAGAATGCTGTTCAAGCGAGAAAAAAAATTGTGTCACATGTATGGAGAAGATGTATTGACCGAACGAGTGCCAAAACTGGTTTACAAAATTTCGTTCTGGCAATTTCAATATTGAAGATGTACCATGTTCTGGATGGCCAGCTGAAGCCAATGAAAACAAAATAAAAAGGTACTGATTGAAGCAAACTGCTGAATAACACGTGAAATCACTAAGATTAAATTTGTCAAATTGAACTGTTTATAATTACTTGAAACAAATTGGTTTCGTTTCAAAGCTTGATATATGGGTTCCACATGTTCTTAAAGCAAGCATCTCTCTTTAAGAACATGTGGAACCAATATATCGAGAAAAAAAATTTCCTTAAAATCCCACCGAAGAGATGCTCTCTTCGGTGGGATTTTAAGAATTTTTTTTTTTGGGATCTTTTAGCAGACAATTTAACAATTGATTTGAAAGTGTACTGCCATCGAGTAAACAAATTGAGTAATATCAAACAGAAAAGGCGGCCAGAATTGATCAAAACAGGTGTAGTGATTTACCACGATAATGTCAAATTTCACACAAGTTTGGTAACTCGTCAGAAACTGTTATAACTTAGATGGGAAGGGCTATCACACCAACCATATTCGCCAGATTGAGCACACTCAGATTATTACTTGTTCCGGTCTATGCTAATTTTTTAACTAAGACATTTACTTGAAATGACAATGTCAAAAATCACTTGGATCAGTTTTTTGTAAGCAACGATCAAAACTTTTCTGAATGTGAAATCATGCTACTACCAGAAACGATGACAACAGGTATTTGACCAAAATAATTCAATAAAATATTTATTATAAAAATATTGTGTTTTTTCCCCATGGAAAAAAATGAAATTACTTTCTGAACAACCCAATATATTACAGTAATACCTTGATTTACGCAAACCCAGAGTTACGCGATTTTAAAATCTCGTAGATTCGTCTTTTGAGCACCACGCAACTCTTGATTATTCACTTCCCCCTACACTATTGTTCAGCTTACATGTTCGGATGTGTCGCGCGGAATAGACCCATAGCTACAATTTATTTTGTGTTATTTATTTCTGTGTTTGTTATATCTATGGAGACTTGACTCTACTATGTCATCCAAACGAAGTAGAACTGATTATTCTGCATCAAAGAAGAAAAGAAAAACTATCTTTGGAATGTAAAGTTGAACATTATTAGAGACTTTGATACAAAAATGAAAATTTGTGAATTGGCAAAGAAAAAATTCTGGAACCTGTGAAAAATGCTCCATCTTTAAATTAAAGCATAATTCATAAATGTCATGGATTATCGCTGAGATGGAAACAATGTTAAAATTATAAATCAAGTAAATGTGAAAAATTGTATAACAATTTGTTATACATATGTATTAACTAAGATTTTATTAAACATTTTTTTCTAAATTATTGTTTTTTTTAGTCTCTGGCCCCAATTAGAAATTATTTGTATGCGTTTAAATGCGAAATTATACCCCAACTTATGCAGTTATTGCTCGATCCCACCTATCACGTAAGTTCAGGGTATTACTATATAAAAACAGAACTACTTTTTTTTTTACAAAAACAATTGTCTGTATTACTACCTAATATTGAAAATTGCAAGCTGTAAATCAAGTGTCTGTATTAAGTACTAATACAGATCTGTATTGGAACTTAGGATCTGTATTGGAAATCACAAGTCATAACATAGAAGCAATCATGAGCTCTTTGCAAGTGCACACCTCATATTGAATTCTCACAATTTAAAAAAGAACTTTACCAAGTATTTTTCATTAAATAAATATTTATAACCATTGTTTCATAAAATTGTGTGTTTTATTCAGACCTCTAATAAGGCAGAAACATAAGTGCAAATCCCTGAAAGTATTTCATTTTAACTATGCTGACAATTAAAAAAAAACGTTATCTATCCAGGGGGTCGCAACAAAATTTTACACAAAATGGGGGTTGGAATTTAAAATAGTTTGTGCACCACTGCTCTGTAGCATTCAATACTACAAAGCTTTTGTTTTTATATGCAGAACCCATCTGTGTTTAATAGGTTTGGTCATTTGACAAGCTCCTACATTTCATTTTTCTCTAATGCACTAAGCTTGTCTTTCATTGCCATCTCCCACTGCTTCCAGTCCAATGACACTTCTTCAAATGTTTCCAGACAGGCTATAGCCATCAGCAGATAACTCAATTATTTTTCAGGTTTTCAGGACTTGCTTATTATGAGCTAGTTCGTCAACTATCTTTGTGCCAACTTCACTTCTGTTGGATGTTAAATGTCTTAACTTTTTTCATGTATTTTCACATGCAATGCTACATGAACTTTCTCCGTGTTTCACTCCCATAAACAATATACTCTCTGCTTTGGTTCATAGCCAACTAATACCATCAATTTACTTTTCAAATCAAGTTTCTTGCAAACTGTTTATTGATAAGCATATATGTATCACTTCAAAGCATCTTTAACATTGGTATGGCAATTGGCTAGATTTGTCAGTTTGTGATAATGGTTTGATTTGCTTATGTTGTGAAATAGACATAAATGGCAGCATGACTATGTTTGGCCATTGTCTTGTTGAGTGCTTATTTAAGTAATTGAGACAGTAAGTTTTCCAATATCTGGTCCTCTTTCTCATCCCAGCTGACAACAAATGTTTGAACAAGGGGTTACTGCGCAGGGTGTTTTGAAACTCATGGGAAAAAATTTAAGGGGTGATAGAAAACATCTAAACAAGCAATTTTCACCATGCAATGCATAGGCGGAGAGCAAGTGGTGAACCACTAGACGGGGTTGTAATGGAAAGCATAAAGCACGAGTTTTCTTACACATCATTTCTACCGTAGATTTCAGAAGGCATGGCGACGTACAGTTATCAGGAAAAGGAGGACATCGCTCTTTTGAGCAGTTTCTATAATTTTGCCACACATGCTGTCAATAAAATTATTTAGTACCTCCTCTATCAGTTTGGTGTTTTGTTCTTTCATGTAACTGATACCTCCTAGCGGTTCACCGCTCGCTCTCCACCCATGCATTGTAGGGCGAAAATTGCTTGTTTAGATGTTTTCTATCACCCCTTAAATTTTTTCCCATGAGTTTCAAAACACCCTGTATAATACCTTAATCACAATTGGTACATCATCCTGCTTGTGACCGAGATCAAGTTAAGCCACCATTTGTTCCACTTTTGCAACATGTTCAGCGAGCATCTCTGAACATGTGGCAAAAGTACTGTCTTTCGGATCCATTTTATATTCATAACATTTCTGCAGCAGCAAATGAACACTTACTTTGTTCTTTTGTTCTATTACTTTTGTATTGGAGCAAATGTGGAATTTAGTATTACATTTCAGTTTGTTAAAGAGGCAGAGAGAAAAGAGATCTACAAAAGTTCAAAGTTCTTCAACAATCATATGGTCATCCATCCTGTACATGACCCTTTTGACAACCATTGTAAAACGGCACCAACCATACACAGCAGTGTGCTGCAGGAAGAGACCAAGACACATTCACATCAACAGTTACAAAAAAGCAAATATTTTTACTTTAACTATAATCATCTTCATTGAAACAAAAGAATAGAACATTGAAAAAAATTTAATCAATTTAAAAATGTAAAAAAAATTTCTAATTCAACACCCAAGAATATGAATAAACAAAGGAACTAATGGAATTTTCTCAGTATGTAATTAAACGTTAAACCTTGTTCAATTAAATTTCCAACAGTGTGAATTTCAGTATCATTTTTTTTCTGCCTGGAATTTGACACATTCTTACACAATACACAGTATAATTTAGTGGAAATTTATTTTGAAACATTTAGGTTCACTTACACAAATTACTCTAGCAGGTATATTGGAAGCATTGCAACCATTCAAATTTATTAAACAAATTTTACATAATTCTTGTCTAATAGTGAATATATATCATTGCTAAATAGTTAAAGAAACTGAAATAGTTAAACCCAATTTCTAACCTCTCTGCAATTCTAAGTTATTGTATATCCGATAAAATTTATATCAAGTTGTATAAAATATGTATAGGTTAAAACTACTCTAGTAATTTAGAACTGCTTCTGTAACTTGTTATTAAACGTCTAAATTATATTTCGATATATTTACTTGATATAAATACTTGCTTGTATTTAACAAGCACATATTGTGAAATACTTTATATTGAAGTTATAGCCACAATATAGGGATTTTAAACTAAAAGAATTTAATGTAAATTTTTTTACTTTATTTTTGAACACTGTTGAATCCAAAACAGGTTTTGCATAACAAACTAATATTGAAGATATAAATATATCATTTCACATGTCAAAAATTTCTTGGATTGTTTCAAATTACATGAGAATTTGTTAAGTTTGTGTTCTCTGCAACATTTAAAATTTAAGTAAAAAAATTTATGGTTACTATGCCATTGGAGCTGGGATAATTGATGATTCTTCAATTTTACTAAATTTGCAATAGTCAAATTGCAGTAGATTTCACTTATTCAAAGCAGATAATGTTCAGTTGTTTAATGTTATCAGACTAAATAAGTAAAAACCCTTGCTCATGGCAAGCTGTTTGGTTAGTTACCTTCAATTAAATAGGCAAAATGTGTCCAAACTATTTGCCTCAGTATGTGGCTGATACTGGTTAAAATGGGCAATTATGCATTACTTTTAATATTAAATGTGTGCTAATGGCGATTAAAGTTGCTGCCATCAATTAAGAGAGATGCTAGTTAATAGTACTGAAAAACATTTATAATTAGTAATTGTAATTTATTGAAACATATGTAACTTGGAAGTTATGTTATCAGTCAATGAAACAAGACCAGCCTCTCATTATAGTCTTATGTATTCTTGCTTATTGATATCAGTATAGATTCCAAAGTGATTACAATAAGTTAGTTCACTATACAGGTATCCCTAGATTAACATGATTAATCTCTCAATGTTACCGCATATAATCAAAATCACATCAATCAAATAAGATATCCATGTTAAGTAAAGATAGCTGTTAAAGCCATGTTAATTAAGACTTCTGCTGCATATATAAAGAGATTGCTGCAACTGATTACACACATCAATCAAATCATGGGTTAAGCAAGTGATACCTGTATTTTAAACTCATCTGCATTCTATTCTATTAAGGTTTTTAAAATATAAAGCAAAATTAAAGAAATAGATTACTGTAATCGTAATAAATTATAATGCAAGCCTTTGACTATGATATATATAAACAAAGAATAACATGTTTCACTATTATGAAATTTGATTTATACCTAATATGACAGTTTATACCAGGGCTGTGGAGTTGGAGTCATCAAAAAATCTGCCGACTCTGACTCCTTTTTACTTCCCAACTTGTTATGTAGATACAACAGAAAAATATTGATCCTCCAACTTTTTTTTGCAAAAATACATGTCCCAAACCCCTCAAAAAAGTCAATAAAAGGGAAAAAATTTGCGTATGTATATGTTGGTGTCTAATTTGTTTAATTTCTTTATTTTCTGTTCTGAGATATTAAACAATATCTCAGAATGGGTAAAGTTTAAGAAACAAAATGTGGCACTGTAGCTTGCGTATAAAGGGGCATTAATACTATTAAATTTTGGTTTTTAATTAAAGGTAGACAGGATGAATACATAAGTGGTCATGTGTCATCTCTCTTAATGAATACAGTATTTTACTCATTAGCGTTCAAAATTTAAAAAAATAAATAAAACTCATCTCTACCCTCAAAGTAAGCTTTTTTGGCATTTTATAATAGTACAGTAAAACCCGTTAAGATGTTCTTGCCTAAGATGTTAGAATGTGCATGGGGACACGATTTAGTTCAACCACTTTGAAGCTTAATAACAAATTCCTGTGTTAAACCATCTGACTCCAATTCTGACCACAGAAATTATTAGGCTTCAAACAGGGTGAACAAAATCATGCCCCCCCCACACACAGTTTAACATCCACACATACAGAAAAAAACTTCAAATCTTTTGCATATCTCAAAATTTCAAGGTGTCCCAAGTCCAAAATTGTAAAAATTTGGGAGGGGTCAATTTTTTGACCAAGTGTTACACTTTCCATCTGTTATAACAGAGGAAAAAGTAGAAATTATCAAATACATATTTATATATATTACTAAGAAAAGTCTTTTAGCTTTGGAATAAAAAGTTTCTATGTTCTATCTGTATTAGAACTATTTATTGAATCTTATTCTGAGGTTACGTGATGACATCAGAATTTCTGAGTCTCTTTCAGTAACAAGTCTGCCCCTGGTCGGAGTTGGATGATAAGAAAAGTTGGAGTTGGTAGATTTTTACGCGACTCCACAGCCCTGGTTTATACTCTGTTTTCAGTTATATATACAGCATATATGAAATTTCATTAGCATTTTCTAATATTTGTATGCATTACTATATACCTTATTTCATACATAAATATATTTTTGGCATAAAGTTTTAAAATTTTTTATGAATAAAATCTTTATGCCTGATGTAAGAAGCATAAAGTTACCTGTGAAAAATGTTAAATTTTTGAAAAACTTACGATTTATATAAACAAGACTCAAATGTAAACTTTTTGCATTGAATTCATACTGACAAAATAATGTAAAAGTTCATTTTATTCAAAAAATTTATCTAATGTAAAGATGCTAGCACTGACATTATGCAAAACTAAAACTGACAATGATAGCAAATTATATTAGAAACATGCAAACTGTCAATGCATAGAGCTAAAGAAATTATGGATATTATAACATGCAATATTGGATTTAACATTAAGAACTTAAATGTCAAATCAGATTTAGTGATAAAACTGCATACACTTCCCTAACAGCATTTTATAGTTAGATTCTTATATGTCAAGCAACAATTATAGTCCAAACATTTGTTACAAAATCACAAGTTTGGTATAAATTTAAAATAGTTTCATTCTGAAGTAAAAATTTATAGAATCAAAATGCTATAACTTGCAAGTTTTAATAATAAAATTATATTTACATGTATTAGTTGCAACAACAATTAAAGCAGAACTTCCTTTCCTTCCTCTAAGAAGCGAATTCTCTGCATGCAGACAATAATACTTATCTTCACCTAAACGAATCCCAGATTCTGTAAAGGAATTAGGATTGGTCCTCATAGTGTCAGCAATAAATTTCAATTCTTGTTGTGTCACCTATAAAATAAATACAATAAATTAATTTTACAATTAATAACTAGAAATTATTAAATTTGTAAGAAATGAAACAATAATTTAAACACAACTATTCTGACAAACTAACCAAATAATGCAGTGTATTTGAAAAATCAGTAATAATTTAAACAGAAGATACTGTAGTTACTTGAAAAATCTAAAGAATCAAATCTTAATTTCTACAACCTCACCCACAAATTCTTAAATAGACAAGACAAACTTCTGTTAACAGAAGAGTTTAGTATTTATTGAAAGTTATACAAAGTGAAACCTCGCTTAACGAGCATATTTCATTCCAAAATCTTACTCGTAATGCGAAACACTAGTTAAACAATCAGTTTTTCCCATATAGAGTAGAGCATCAATTATCCAACCCCCGATTAACCATCACATCAGTTAACCAACCATTCTACTTGGCAAATTTCAAATGTCTGCTAGTGAAGTGGCACTACAATATTTGGCTGTGTCTTGGCTACTTTAATATTATTTTTGTTAAATTTTTGCATGTTTTAGCTAGCAACACAGTTCAATCATTGAAGTGAGGCCAGTATTTAAACGAGACTTAATTTTCTAATTATGAGTGGTTGTTTATTTTGCGAGCAATAAAATAATTTTTAATGATACAATAGTGACGATTATTATTTTTAAAAAATTTGTTAGGCTTAACATCGATGAAAATTCAATGCAAAATTGGTTAATAGCAATATACTAATTACATGGGATATACTAATATACTATACTAATAAAATCAGATAACTGAAAAAATGGATTTTCAGTTATCCGACCAACATAAATCCCCAACTGAGTCAGATAATCGATGCTCTACTGTAAATTAATGTAAAATATGATAATGCGTTCCACACCAAAAAGCAGTCATACTTTATGTATAATGTTTATTCAAAGAAAATTATACATTGTTAAGGAGCTTGAATCATCATCTTTTCTAGCATGGAATGAACTAACCTGGAATGTAAATTCAATTTGCGGAGGGAATCATATGTCTGATAAACACGCCAAACAATATGCCAAATTCTTGTGCTATGTAAAGGCTATAATTAAATATAAATTAAATTAATTTGACTAGAGGTAGGCAGTTATGCTAGGTAACAGCTAGTAGCCTAATAAAACAATACTATAGAAAGAATTCAGTATTTGGTTTATATATCTTATATTTTCTGTACTAAATATATTCATGTTTGGCAATTTAAGATTCTTCAGTTACGAATAATTTATTCATTCTTGGGAGAAAAAGCCAAAAATCACATCCTAGCATGACAATGAAATGATTCAGCTAACTAGATAAAATTTTAGGTAGTTTATACAGTTGAAAGATAAATCAGGTAATATATACAGGATTGTAACAATGAAGGCGTTGACTACTGTATAGAATCCCAACAGTGACTGCCATAGTGGTTGTTGCTACTAGTAGTCAGACTGGAGGTCTTAATAAAGCTTTACATTTTTTCTCACTTGTCTCAATCAATCTCAATATTGCAACAATAGCAAAGATAAGCATACTGCTAAAAAACTTTTAATTTAATTTGGAATTGGTCATTAAATTTAATACAAGATGGCAACATATCTGCCTACCTCTAGTCAAATTATTTAATTTCTAATATTTAATTAGTCTTTACATAACCCAAGAATTTGGCATTTCGTTTGGTGTAATGGACTATGGTTGTTCATGTTTGTGTGTAATATGTCTGAACACAAAGTTTGGAAAAATTGTTATCACACGTGACACTAAGATGCTAGGGCAGGGACCGGAATTAGCGGCTCTTCGGACAAACTCCAATTTCACCTCACCGCAGCCTTATAACTTATGAGTTTATGAGATAGAGTCGTACACCGTCCGCACATGACCACACTCGTGTTGATCAATGTGTCGCATAAGATTGGTAGCATTTGAAGCATATCTATAGATATAACACATTGAATGTGTGTCCGTCCATCCGTATAACGTTATGCCAAAAACGTCCACTAGAGGCGCCCCTATCGTGTGTCGTATTTCGCACGTTTAAATTAATATGCGGTTCTCTGGTACTTTTGTTATCCTGTTTTCATGACAATTTGGCTCTTCTCACTTGACAAACTGCTGACCCCTGTGCTAGGGGAATGAGTGCTAAACACAGACTTATGTAGTATGCACACAATCCGGGACTTCCCCTCATCTCGTTATGCGAAACATCACATATTAAGTGAGTGACAAACCATTTTTTTTACAATTTGTTTTGATTGTAATGCAAATTACTCATTATGAGAGGTGCTCATTGAGGTTCCACTTATGTATTTTAAGCAAAAAGTAACTTTCACAACTATACAATGGCACTACCTATGAGAATCAAATTCTTTACATTATATCTAAATTCCAGATAAAGAAATTTAAATAATTAAACTGTTTTAAATAATAAAATTATAATTTTACCCTTACTTTGCTCAGACCGATTTAAAATCTAAATTATTTTGATGCTATAATTGAATTTGAATGATTAAATATTTCATATTCCTATTTAAAACACCCTTTAACCTCAAAATATTAAAATTAGTATATTCAGATGGCTACTTCTCAATGTATTAAAACTGAAATGCCAAGTCACTGATCTAGGCTTGTTTTTACTTTAAATATAAATCAAAATTTTAAATAATTTAGATTAATTGCTTCCTGTATTTTCTGATTTTTATTATGGTGGCATTATATAATTCCATTACCATGTTCTTTTACATTTAAAATTTGTACCTTTTTTACACAGGTTAAAATACAAAAATCATTTAAAATTTAAAAAACTGGATGTTGTATTGGAAACACCCTGTTCAATACATCTTATCAGAAGATAAGTAATTTCAATGAAGAAACTATTGATAAGTCTTAAGTTAATTTGAAGTTAGTATTAATATTACCATTGTTTGAAATATTGACTTAAAATATTACATTTTTTTCAGTTAAAAATATTTGTATAAAGTATTGAACATTTTGAAAATTCACTGGTGTGTGAAAATATCAACACACACAAGTTAAAATATTTTCTTTCAATTCCAATAATAAGAATTGGTGGTGATAATCATTTTTTACAATGATAAAATTGAAAGCAGAGTTTAGATCAGTTAATGATTTAAAATTTCAAAAAGGGAGAACCACTAACAGTTTAGGATATTGCTATTGTAAAAAATAAGCAATATTAGAGCAATATTTTATAATCAAATTTAAGAAAATGTTCAGGAAATAAACTAAATAACAAATTTTCAACTGATCACTCATAATATTCATTTCTACATTAAATGTAAAGCAAAATCATCAGACTGATTATGACTAAACTGATTAGATTGTTGACATTTGAAGAACAAATATTAGTAAACATGAATTATTCGAATTGTAAATTTTGAAAATTACTTAGCGTTTCAAAAAAATCCTGTAATTTAACATTAAAATTAGAAAAGAATCAATTTCTTAGTTTTATTTAAATTAGAACAAAGATTTCTCTATTTTTAATTTATTTATGGCATTTTCATATTTAGATTTTGAAATATTAAAGATTCCATCTTAACTATAATGAACACTGAAAAATAAAATCTAAACTCAATTACTTAAAATTTACAAAACATTCAAAAATTAAAAAGTTAATGTATAATTTGAATATTTATCAACATTGAATTAAAATAGATTTTAATTCAATGTTAGTTTGTTTTTAATTCAAAGTATTTTCTGCAATTTCAGTCTTAATTTTTGCCACTTTCTAACAAATTCTTTGTCTTAATTTCTGAAAATACCTATTTCCTTTAATTTTACAGAAATAATTGATAACCGACTAGATATTGATGTAAGATAATCAAATTTTACACATTAAAGCCAAAAACAATTGCCAAATTACATTGGGTTATACTACCACTACTACTACTAATTAAATTCTAAATAATTTGGTACAAGAGGTAGGTGTTAGGCAGCATCTCTTGCTTTGTTTAATAATAATTTTAGTAACTTAAATTCTGGAAGAAAAGAATTGGCCCGAAGTGGGAATAAAGTATAATAAAAGTATAATTAAAATTGTTTAAAGTTTTCATTACATAGTTTTATATAAAAACACAGGACATTCACTTTCCACAACTCTGCATGTGCTAGATAAGTATTTCCTATCTAAATTTCCTTCCTGTAAATTCTGGAAAGGCTTTACTAAACCATTTCTTGAAACAATTTATAGTTTTAAAATAAAAATACAATTATTTGAAATTAAAAAATGGCATTATTAAACTTAAATGCTTAAGAAAAGAAAAATGTTAAAAATCAAATTTTACTGATAAAAAAATTCAGATAAATTTACAAAACAGATAGCAATTTCAAAAAGGTTTAAAGTCCTCAATTTAAAACAATTTGATGATTTATTTGTATTAAAAAGAACAGGAATTAAATATGTTTTTAACTATGTAAAAAAAAATTTTTTATTAGAAATTTAAATAAATAAAGCAAGTAAAAAATTTAAGTTAAAAAAAAGAAAAAGGAAATCTAAGGGGAGAAAAGTAATATTTTTGAACTAATTAAAAACAAATATAGAATTGATCATTCTGAATTCAGAAGGACGTCAGTAATCAAATTATCAAATCTTTCATCTGAAAGGAAGATTTCACATGTGCACACACGTGTAATTTAAATAGTGACAATACAAAGCATTGGATAGTTAAATTTAAATGAATTTGAAATAAAGGTTATGAAAAATACCCCAATCCCTTCAATTCATCTTTTACAGTACTGAAACTTTAGACGTTTATAATTACTTAACAGATCTGCACATTCTTGCACAAGTCCAATTTACATTTCTACACACAGTAAATCTGCTTGTTGTAATCACTTTGAAACTCACCTATGTTAATGATTGATAACATGAAGCAGAGAAGGAAAGACTAATTACTGGAAACTGGTTTTATCGACAGATGTAAAAGTACTTATCTAAGTTTTGTTTTAAAATTTAAAGCTTTAAATTAAAAACAACCTA